GTCTGGAAAGATAAGAGCAGATCAGTTGATACGAGTTCATGAGCAAATATGAGAGACTGTAGGCTGCAGTACATTTTCCTTGTAGACAGAGATCTCTTTGATCATGTATTAAAGGTGCAGTAAGCGATTTTATTAGCTTAGCCGTAGCACCAACTGGAAACCACTCCCCCCTCCCCTCGCCTCTCCACCAAACCAAACATCCAGCATTTTCTTTGTCACAACAGGGAGAGTAGGCGGAAAACGTGAAATTGGCATTTTCTGTTCAGCCCTTTTTGGTTTTAGAAAATCCAATAACTCAGGTGCGCACACTCGCGAGAAACAGGAAGAGGGTGAAGGGGGTAAACGCATCCAATGGGCTCTATGCACGCACCACTTCCGCGTTTTAGCTAAAGCCCCACTTCACTTCCTGTTCGCGGGAAACAGCTTGAGTTTCACTGGAGTTCAGCAATGGTTTACACGAGTTTCCCAAATAATGCTCAAACGGGAATTAAGTGTGACCACAGTCAAAGCTCTACCTCAGAGAGAAAGCACAGAATCACTTTTGGGTCAGTCTCACAGCTGAATGTATCAATCTAATTACTAAAATACGTCACTAAAACTCACCTAAATGCCATAGGATAGCATAGGCAGGAAGTGGACGGGCTGATCTGCGTTAACAGGAAATGACGTCACGCCTCCCCGTGCATATAGCCCATTGGTTCGTTGGGGATGAACGAATCCCATTGGTTTATTTTTATCTGTCCGCTCCAAAATATTTGTTATTAATTTTTGGGGACCGCAGGCATCTGGTCAATTTCATTACTATTTGAAAACACAAACTTGACGACTTTTCGGGTTTAAGGAAGTTTTTCCACAATATTTTAAAAAATGCGTCTACACAAATGTTTACACAAAAGTGCAAACATGTGAAATCATTTGCTGCTATTGCTGTATATGCAAAAGCTGCTATTGCTGGTATATACATTAATTACATTACATTAAGGTGCATCTAACATGCTTTAACAGGGTGAGAGTATACTTTATATACTTAAAAACTAACCTGCACTTTCAGGTTTCATGCAGGTTTTTAAGGACAAAGATTACAACATTGTTCCCTCATTAATAACAGAGTTGTTTTTAGCTCCATCCACACTAATTACAGAAACCTCTGGCACAAACAAGAAAAAAAAACACTTTCCCCAGTCTAATAATAATAATAATAGCAATAATTAAATGTATTTTTCTAAAGCTGACAAACACCATGGACGGCAAAAGTCACAAAATATCAGACATTTCTTCAAGCACATTATTAATGTTATGATATGAAATCTTTGAGGCAGATTGTCATGTCTCACTTGACTGTGATGTACATCCGGTTTTATTTTTCATGTATATGCATATATTTTTGACTTTTGAAATAATGATAAAACTTCCAAAAACATGAAATACCAAAGTAAAGATTTGCAAAAGATGAAGAGACAGAATTAACAAATGTAGCCTCATTCCCACTTCTAAAAAACATAGGAATTTTGACCAATACCTCTGCGATTGACAAGACCCTTTACCGATCTAAACCCTTCTATGCAAAAGAGCCTCTGAATTTTACTTGTTATTGATCTGAATAATAGTAATCTTCCACTCCAAAAGTCAAACATTCTGACACATTTAGTGTCAAATTCCAACATTTCCTGTGTTCCGGGTCAACACAGCATTTTAACACGTTTAAAACCATGAGGCCGCAGTGGGAAAAGCCTAATACTGAATTAGATGTTTATTTGTACCAGTGACTGTGGGAATAACAACCCATTCAAAATGTGTCGAACGTGTAAATGTAAGAACGCAGCTGTAATAAAAACCTTAAATAATTCCAGTCTTGCAGTAGCACTCTCTCAGGATATGAGTTTTACTATCAGGCTGGAAGCATGAGAGAATTGTTTCAATGTGCCAGTACAAGGAGATATCAATAAGCTCTGAGACTTAACCAACAAGGTCCTCCTGTGGACTCACCACCTGCAGAGGGTCAGTGAGGGGCTGGTGCTATGAGACTTGGATGGCATCTCTGACTGCCACCCCCCTGACCCAGAAATGGATTAAAGGGTAGAAAATGGATGGATGGATGGACTTAACCAACAAGTCATCGAAACAGAAATTAATAAGTCCAAAATAATTTAGATAAAAAAAGTATTTTTCATTTGTTAATTTTGTCTTGTCCATGTCTTTAAATATGCACCATAAGAACATTGTGTTTACATTAGCATTTCACCATTTCCGGAAATGGTGAGTGTGACACATGTAGTAGTAGCAGCAGCAGCAGTAGAAGTATTTGAATAGATTTAGAAAGAAATCTAACATGGCACAGTCTCAGGTTAAAACATTTTTTACAAAACTAGAAGCAGAACTTACTATTATAGCCATCCATCGATCCATTTTGTACCCTTTAATCCATTTCTGGGTCGGGGGGGATAGCAGAGATTCCATCCAGTGCACATAGCACCAGCCCCTCACTGATGGCAAGGCAAGTTTATTTATATAGCACAATTCATACACAAGGCAATTCAAAGTGCTGAACAAAACAAGAAAGCATTTAAATCATAAATTATCACAGAACATTAAAAAGAAAGATAAAAATATAAAATCCCTCAGTTGTATGCACAGTTAAACAGAACGGTCTTTAACCTGGTTTTAAACATTGTCAGAGAGGAGGCCTGTCTCACATCTTCAGGAAGACTGTTCCAGATTTTAGCAGCATGAATCTGAAAAGCAGCCTCCCCATGTTTAGTTCTGACTCTGGGCACTAACAGGAGTCCAGTCCCTGTGCTCCTCAGAGTCCGGGCTGGTTCATATGGGACTAACATGTCACTAATATATTTTGGTGCGAGGCTATGGAGAGACTTGTACACAAGCAGAGCTGTTTTAAAGTCTATTCTCTGAGCCACAGGAAGCCAGTGCAGAGACCTGAGAACTGGACTAATGTGGTCGTACTTCCTGGTTCTAGTCAGGACTCGAGCTGCTGCATTTTGAATGTACTGCAGCTGTTTTACAGCCTGTTTGGACAGACCTGTGAGCAGGCCATTGCAGTAGTCTAACCTACTGGAGACAAATGCATGGATAAGAATCTCCAGGTCTGCTTTAGACACTATGTTTTTGATCCTGGCAATGTTTTTTAGATGGTAAAAAGCTGCTGATGTTACTGATTTGATGTGGCTATTAAAATTTAAGTCTGAGTCCAGTATTACCCCTAGATTTCTGACCTTGTTTGAAGGTTTTAGGGAGAGAGACTGTAGGTGACAGATGACGCTCTCTCTTTGTTTCTGGGGACCAAAGACAATCATTTCAGTTTTGTCTGCGTTTAGCTGAAGGAAGTTGTTTTGCATCCACTCACTGATCTGTTGGATACAGTGAAGGAGTGAGTCCACTGGTCCATGTTCTCCTGCAGTCAGTGAGACATAGATCTGAGTGTCGTCTGCATAGTTATGATAGGAAACTTTGTAACTGCGTATTAACTGACCTAACGGCAGCATGTAGAGATTGAACAGAAGAGGTCCCAGGATCGACCCCTGTGGGACTCCACAGGTCAGGGCCATATGATCTGAGACACAGTTTCCAATCTCCACAAAGTACTTCCTGTCTTTCAGAACCTGTCAACCAACATCCTCCTGCGGTCAGGGTAGGAGGCTGTTGCAGTCCGTCCACTCCCACACTCATCCACACACACCTGTTGCGCAATAACCGTTGGATTATCAATGCAAGGACACTCCATAACAATGAACATTTAAGCCCACATCGTTGTGGCACCCCACTACATGGTTTTGTGTGTGTGTGTGATTGTCACGACCTGTGACCCATGGTTGGGAACCATTCTGGACATTTTTAAAAGTACTGCTGCTGTATTGTTGTGTTGTTGATCTGCAGAACTGTATATATATTTGCACTAAATGTTGTTTGTTTTTCACTGTAAATACATGGCACCCGCCGGTAACCAGTCTGTCTCTTGAGTGTAATATTACTTGCCTCACACCTCCCAGAGAGCCGTATCTAGTCTTCTGATCTAGTCCAACAAACCCATTCTTTCCTATACTGTCCTATCCCTGGCATAACGTTACTCATATATGCTACATAAATGTGGCGAGCTAGCCAGGAGGTTGAGAAAAGTAGTAATATTGTTTTGCATCAGACTCACCAATTCAGCAGCATGGACATTTTTGAGTCCCTTGAGATAAAAATATCAAACGCAGTTATTGTGAGTGGTAACCCCAAGTGTCAAGTTGATGAGGTTGAAGAATTTTTGGAACAGTACGGTGAAATTAAGCGTTCTCTTTTTGTTAACGATCCTGATAGTGAATTTCATGACATGTTAGTGGTGGAGTTTAAACCTGGTTCAACTTTTGATTTGTTGGGTCCGATATTGCCATATACGTTTAGGCCTACACATTATGAGTACTGTGTCAAAGATTTATCAAAACTTTACGCGACTACTATAAGTGAGACCAAGACCAAGACTTATCTAGCTGACTTAAAGCAAGTAGCTGAGATGTCTGGACAAAACTTAGCTCAGATGTTACAAGAGCTCATGACCCAAATAAATAAAGTTGTTATTGAACCGTCCTCATCAAATAGGCTTATAACAAAACAGGACCCATCACCAGAACCCAAAATGGCCGCCCCCTATGTTCCTGCAACTGCAAACACCAATATGGCTGCTGCCTCACCTGCTCCACCTGCTGCTGGAACCAGCAATAGACATTCAATCAATATAACTGCTGATGATTTGAATCCTCCTGAAGTGCAGAGGTATGTGGTCGAGCATATTGTTAAAAGTGATGATGCTGTGTATGCACGCTCTTCACACAGATTGAGGATGTTTTCTGGACGTGTCCCGCGCCCACAGCATGAGGTGGACTATGATACATGGCGCTCTGGTGTGGACCTCATTCTCAAGGATCCATCTATATCAGAATTCCAGCGATCCCGACACATCCTCGACAGTCTCCTACCACCTGCTGGCGACGTAGTGAAACATCTCAGCCCCGACCTGCCGGCAGAAATCTACATTCAACATCTGGACTCAGCATTTGGAACAGTGCAAGATGGGGAAGAGCTCTATGTTAAATTTATGGACACGCTACAGGACTCTGGTGAGAAACCCTCTGTATATTTACAGCGACTCCAAGTAGCCCTGAGTTTAGCAGTCAAGCGGGGAGGAGTGAAACTGGGCGACGTGAACCGGCACCTGCTCAGCCAATTCTGCAGGGGATGCTGGGATAATAATCTCATCTCTGAGCTCCAGCTGAAGCAGAGGAAGTCTAACCCACCTTCATTTGCCGAACTACTTCTTCTGTTGAGAACGGAAGAAGATCGTGAAGCCAATAAAGCTCAACGAATGAAGCAACACCTGGGAACATCTAAACATAGAGTTGCTGCTCAAGCTCAGGTTGTGGTGGAAGAGGATGGGGTTTGTGCTGCTCTGTCATCGCTTCAAAAACAGATGGGGGAAATGCAGCAGCAGCTGGATGCTCTTACTGCCTCCCAGTCTTTACATTCTCGTCCCCGATACGCTCAAGGAAGCTCTTCAGCCCCAATGCCCCACAGAACACAAAGAAATTGTCCAAATGTGAGTACATCAAGTCAAAAGCCAGGTTTCTGTTTCCGGTGCGGTGAGGAGGGACACATTAGGCCGCAGTGTGAGAACCGTCCCAACCCAACACTGGTCGACTCGAAACGCAAGCAGTTCAAGGAAAAGCAAAAGTGGCAGCAAAGTAGGAATTTACAACATAACAACCATTTAAACTAGCACCAGTTCCTGCAGGGGGACACCCAGGAACTGTGCAGGGCCCACACTGTCCCGCTAAGAAGAAAAACGCTAGTTGTGCGGAACTACAGCTGCCCAGTCCAGGGCCAACGGTAAAGTTGCCTAAAGGACTGATTGGATCCCGATGCACAGCTGAAGTGAACATTTCCGGTCACTCACACCAGTGTTTGCTCGACACTGGATCTCAAGTGAGCACTATCCCTGTTTCTTTTTATAACAATCATTTGCATGAGGAACAAATCTACCCACTCCATGATCTTCTTCACGTTGAAGGAGCTGCTGGCCAGAATGTCCCGTATCTTGGGTATGTCAAAATAACAGTGCAATTTTCTAAAAACTTTGTCGGAAAAGAACATGTTGTTTCCACACTCGCACTAGTTGTCCCAGATGCACACAATAATGTCCCATCTACTGTCCTCATTGGCATGAACACCTTAGAACCACTATATGAGCACTATATTAATGATCAGTCTACATTTCAACCCAATACACACGGGTACAGAGCTGTCCTGAAGACGCTACAGCTGTCACACCAACAAAAGGATCAAGGGAACATTGGAGTTGTAAGACTTTTAAGTAAATCCCCAGTGCGTGTCCCGGCCGGCCGCACTATTGTCATCGAGGGCTTGGCCAAAGTCTCTTCATCTCCGCCATTCCAGAGTGTTATCCTGCAACATCCTGCCTCCATTTTGCCTGGTGGGGTGTGTGTCAGCAGTTGCCTCATATCTCTTCCAGCTCTTCCACCATTCAAAGTTCCTGTGGTCGTTACTAATGAATCAGAGCAAGACACATTCATTCCACCGCACAGTATTGTTGCTGAACTCGAGCCATATCATTGCATCATCTCTGAACAGCACATAAGCTCTACATCCGCCGAGAAGCCATCCTCCAGCCTCAACATCAACTTCGGCGAATCTCCACTGTCACCGGAGTGGAGGGAGAGAATCACGGACAAACTGAACGCCGTTTCAGAGGTATTTTCCCAACACGATTTAGATTTTGGACGCACAACAGTTGTTAAACATAACATTCCACTCCATGACAAGACGCCAATCAAGCAGCGTCCCCGGCCTGTCCATCCGCAGGATATTGAAGCTGTCCGCCGCCATCTCCGGGAGCTTCTGGAAGCCGGTGTCATAAGGGAGTCGTCATCGCCTTTTGCATCGCCTATTGTGGTGGTTCGAAAAAAGAATGGTGATGTCAGATTGTGCATTGATTACAGAAAGTTAAACTTACAAACAATAAAAGATTCATATGCTTTGCCCGATGTAGAAGAAGCATTTTCAGCTCTGTGTGGTTCCAAATGGTTCTCTGTGTTAGATTTAAAATCCGGTTATTACCAAATCGAGATGTGCGAAAAAGATAAAGCAAAGACCGCTTTCGTCACCCCTCTCGGATTTTGGGAGTTTAACCGTATGCCCCAAGGAGTTACGAACGCACCGAGTACATTCCAGCGCTTGATGGAGCGATGCATGGGTGACCTGCATCTGAAGGAGGTACTTGTGTTCTTAGATGATTTAATTGTATTCTCCAAATCCTTGGAGGAGCACGAACAGAGACTATTGAGAGTGCTGGACCGTCTGAAGCAATATGGGCTGAAATTGTCACCTGAGAAGTGCAAATTCTTTCAAAAGTCTGTTCGTTACTTGGGTCATATTGTGTCAGAACAAGGTGTTGAAACTGATCCGGAGAAAATAAAGACTATAAAATCATGGCCAATTCCCACGACACTGAAACAACTCAGATCCTTCCTGGGATTCGCAGGATATTACCGGCGCTTCATTAAAGATTACTCCATCATTGCCAAACCACTTAATAACTTGACCCGAGGCTATGCTCCAGTGCGGAAGTCGAAGAAGCCAGGACCCCACAAGGCGCCAGTCTACCACCAGAATCAACCTTTTGGGGAGAGGTGGAGTCCCAGCTGCCAGATTGCTTTCGAGGCTCTGATCAAGAAGCTCACAACTGCACCAGTTCTTGGCTTTGCAGACTCCGGACGTCCATACATCCTCCACACTGATGCCAGCGTGACGGGACTGGGAGCTGCATTATACCAAGAGCAAGATGGAAAGCTTAGGGTCATAGCCTACGCCAGCCGTGGACTATCCCAGAGCGAAAGCCACTATCCGGCCCACAAACTGGAATTTCTTGCTCTTAAATGGAGCGTGACCGAGAAATTTCAGGATTATTTGTACGGCGCAGAGTTCACAGTGGTTACCGACAGCAACCCTCTCACCTACCTCCTAACTTCCGCAAAGTTGGATGCTACAGGACATCGTTGGTTGGCTGCCTTATCCACTTACTCTTTCAAATTGCTGTACCGGGCTGGTAAGCAAAATTATGATGCGGATGCTCTCTCACGACGACCTCAACTGTGCTCCAATAACGAAACTCCAGACCATGAAGTTATTCATCAGTTTGTGTCTCAGCATCAGAGTCTGCTGTATGCTGAGACAATCTCTGAAGAGATGGTGAACGCCATCTGCCACTGTCACTTGGTACGAGCCATGCCGTCCGAGGACCCAGGTCAGATTGGTTTTACTCTCATTGAGTCGCTGTCCATGAATGCTGAGGTGATACCTGATGACTTCAGCTCTGAAGGCCTTGACCAGCCACCGCTGATCCCTACTCTCAACATCCGAGACAAGCAGCATTCTGACTCCTGCATTCGAGAGATTATTCATCAGCTTGAGACCGGGGAGAAGATTCCACCAATGGCGAGAGCTGAGTTGCCAGAACTTCCCCTCCTTTTGCGAGAGTGGTCAAAATTGGAGCTTGTAAATGGAGTGCTGTACCGGAGGAGACGAGAGGGTGAAGATCTGTCGTACCAACTGGTTCTCCCAGAAGATTTACGTCCACTCGTCCTGAAAAGCCTCCATGATGAGATGGGACACATGGGTGTTGAACGAACTCTTGACCTCATCCGTACCAGGTTCTACTGGCCCAGGATGGCAATGGATGTCGAACAAAAGATCAGGAGCTGTGGCCGCTGCGTTCGTCGTAAAGCGCTGCCAGAAAGAGCTGCTCCACTTGTTAATATTAACACTACACGTCCACTTGAATTGCTATGTATGGATTTTCTAAGCCTCGAACCAGACTCCAGTAACACCAGAGATATTTTAGTTTTGACCGACCATTTCACAAAATTCGCTGTTGCTATCCCAACGCCCAACCAAAAGGCTAAAACTGTGGCAAGGTGTTTGTGGGAAAACTTCATCATTTATTATGGCATCCCAGAGCGAATACATACTGATCAAGGTCAAGATTTTGAGTCAAGGCTAATAAAAGAACTCTGTGAAATTGCCGGAATCCAAAAGAGCAGAACAACACCATATCATCCAAGAGGAAATCCAGTTGAAAGGTTCAACAGAACTCTTCTTGCAATGCTTGGAACATTGGAACAAAAACAGAAAACCCGTTGGAAGGAACATGTAAAGCCACTTGTTCACGCGTATAACTGTACCAAGAATGAGGTTACTGGATTCACTCCGTACGAGCTAATGTTCGGCAGGACACCGCGCTTACCTGTAGATATTGCATTTGATCTCCCTGTACGAGAATCTAAACATCGCAATCACCTGCAGTACATCAAGTCCTTAAGATCAAGAATGGAAGAAAGTTTCAAAATTGCTTCGGATAATGCCAAAAAGTCAGCAGACCGAAATAAACGCCGCTTTGATCTTCGTGTCATACCATGTGCTCTGGAACCAGGGGACAGAGTCCTTGTAAGGAATGTTCGTCTCCGAGGAAAACACAAACTCTCAGACAAGTGGGAAGAGGAAGTTTATATTGTTGTCCACAGAGCTGGAGATCTTCCTGTCTACAAGGTCAAGCCAGAGGGTAGAGATGGACCAACCCGGACCCTCCACAGAGACCTCTTGCTTCCATGTGGAAGTCTCACAGATGATCACAACTCACAATCTCCTGAATCATCACCTGTCAGACCCCGAACTCGACAACAGACAAAGCACTCTGAGCTTTCTACCGACACATCAGTCGAAGACACCGAAAGCCTTGTCTCTGTGAATGTCAATCCACCAACACTACGCTTCACAGTGGAGAGATCCCTTCCAACAGTTATGCCCACTGCAGAAAATCCAGGGACAATACTATCTGATCATTCAGTTGACGATCAAAGAACCCAAACTCCAACAATCGCTTCAACCAGTGACGAGTCCGACTTTGAGGAGGAAGAGTTGGCTCAACCTGAAGAGAACCCACCAGTAATTGACAATGACCTACCTGAATTGACTAACTTACCTGAAGTTACACACTTACCTGTACGAGAAGAGATACCTACCGTTGATGTTTCCGTCGAGGACCCTCCGGAACTCAACCATAACAATGATTCTGACGTAGTTGAAACGACTTACAGACGTTCAAATCGCCAGAGAGTACCGCCTCAGCGACTCGCTTATTCTACGCTCGGTAACCCGTTAATTTCCATTGTTCAGACGTTATTACACAGTCTGTCCGATGCATTACCGTCCGTCGTGTCTGATCGTTTACCTTCCGTTCGCTAATGGACTAACGTGCAACGGGACGTGCACATATTTAGGCGGGGAGGATGTAACCCACATTAAAAATGGGTTCTGTGTAAAAATAAAACTTTTTATATATTTAATTCTCTGCGCTCCTGTTCACTATCGCGAGAACTGCCTCAGCCAATCACATTGGCCGTAGCGCGTGATACAAGCCGCTTGCGCTTCTCCCTGTCACACACGGGAGGGAGACGCAACCGGACAGCTGCACAGGAGCCCCACCATCGCTTCACATTCGTAACAACCGTTGGGAATTCATTATAAGGGGGAATTGGCCATTTTTGTGTCTGGGTAAGACACCACCCTGAATCTGATGGCGAGCTAGACCCAGAACCTGTCAACCAACATCCTCCTGCGGTCAGGGTAGGAGGCTGTTGCAGTCCGTCCACTCCCACACTCATCCACACACACCTGTTGCAATAACCGTTGGATTATCAATGCAAGGACACTCCATAACAATGAACATTTAAGCCCACATCGTTGTGGCACCCCACTACATGGTTTTGTGTGTGTGTGTGATTGTCACGACCTGTGACCCATGGTTGGGAACCATTCTGGACATTTTTAAAAGTACTGCTGCTGTATTGTTGTGTTGTTGATCTGCAGAACTGTATATATATTTGCACTAAATGTTGTTTGTTTTTCACTGTAAATACATGGCACCCGCCGGTAACCAGTCTGTCTCTTGAGTGTAATATTACTTGCCTCACACCTCCCAGAGAGCCGTATCTAGTCTTCTGATCTAGTCCAACAAACCCATTCTTTCCTATACTGTCCTATCCCTGGCATAACGTTACTCATATATGCTACATTAATGTTTGTTTTTAATGCCCGGTGCGATTTTAATTATATTTTTCTATGTTTATGTATATTTTAATGTTTATGATTTATGCCTGATGTGATATGGGTTGTGAGGCGCTTTGTGTTGCGTTGTGTAGGAAAGGCACTCTACAAATAAAAGATGATTTATTGATTGATTGATTGAACTTTCAGATGACACAGCCAGTTTTTCACACAATAAGCTAACAAGAGCTAGGGCCCTTCCTGGTTATTGGATAAAAAAGGCTCAGTAGGTTCTTTGTTATTGAGCCTAAAACTATATCTGCACTGGGGGCAGAACAATTGTTCTTAAAATGTCATTTCCACATTTTAAAACATTAAATGACAAAGTAAATAGTCCCATTATCATTGTTATGGCCAAAATGAATGACTACAGTTGTAATTTAAGACTGTACAAAAATAAATTGTATTGAATTGATCTCTGGACTCACCGAAATCCTCGAAGAGCGACTCGACGAAGCTCGTGCCGTTTCCATAGAGGCAGCTGTTCATGTAGACGTCTGAGCCATTGACTGTGGACGGGATATACGAGGGTTAAAAATAATACTCAGGGTTAATGTCAGGATCACAGCAGCAGTGACTCGAGTGTCGCCGCTGTAGAAACAACAGCCATGACGCCTTAATCAAACACCGCACTGACCAGGCACATTTCTCATTCCAGACGTTTTAATTACATCAGATAGCTTTAAACTGTCCTGAGAGGTAATGGAAAACATTGATGATTTATGGTCTGTCAAAAATTAGTTTTTTTTGTCTTTGCATGATAAAGTATTTACTCGGGAATGGGACACATATTATAGTTACAGCCACTTTGAATGTCATGCTCTTGTTTTTAACATGCGTTCGATGGGTTGTACGATATATCTTTGGCAATGGACAATAATGAGCCATATACTGATAATCGCAGTATAGAAATATCATTATCGTTGTATTATATATCATGTTGTATCGTGAGGGAGGGAGATTCTCTGTTCTAGTTTTACCAATTACTTTCACTACTCTTTAGGGCTATTTAGCATATCCAGAGCGGCTGTCTGTGTCAAACAATATCAAAAATGTTATAACACAGAAAAGTGAACCTGAGACAGTGGAGGGGGTGCCAGAAGAACCACCACACTTAATAAGCCAACGACAGGCTGGTCCAAATAAGGAAGCCAAGGGAAATACTTGTGTGATATACTGATCACTTGATGTGAATACTTGATCACAAGGGAAATACTTGTGTCCACCACAGTGCTACCCTACATAGAGTGAAGGTAGTTGTTAGTCAGAGACATAGACTGTATACAAATGGACAATGCTAACCCGCTAGCTCAAAGACGCCCAATAGGAAAGTGCTCAAAGATGAAGCTGTGCTTCATAACCACTTGTGTCACAATCCCCATTGTGGTCTTAAAACACATGCATTAGCTCTCTCTGTGATTTATATTTTGATATTGCATTGGCCAGGGAAAATCCAGCTTGTGCTGACAACCATCTAAGCTGTTATGGCACAAAGCTAACGCCGTCTGAACAAATGCCCATGCCCCAATTCAATTTGCTTCAGCTACTCTCTTTCAGGCCAAAATTATTATGATGTTTTATATTTTTATGTCAATTGTAACCTTTCTCCTACGGGGATCAATAAAGAATCGATCTATCTATCTATCTAACCTGTGCTATGTAGGACACTTACAAATCAACAGGTTGGGACTATTGCTCAGTTGTGTTTCCAAACTTATCCTAAAGCAGCTATAGGCTAATTGAGACGGAAGTTGGGAGAAATAAAAAATGACGCACTGAAGCTGTGGGCATTGATGAAAATAGACGAATAGTTCACTCGTTTTCCAGCCATTTTATTTGTAATTTTCCCCAAGAACAATTACTTCTTATCTCCAGCACTGCTCATAACAGACCTGTTTGTCTGATAACACGCAATATTGTCTTCAAGGTAATAAAACAAGCAGATGACAATGTTTTTCAGTTTGATGAGAGATAATTACAGGTATGAAAACTGCTGTGGATTAGAGTAAAGCCCGTGTCAGACGCCTGTGAGCAGTGGTTTCATTGACAAGACACAGAGGAGTCGTGTCTTTCCTTTGCTTCGACCTCCTTCTCTGATCCGATTTAAAGTTTACTATTCATTATCCTCTTACAGAAATCCCCTTATCCCACAGACATACACGAATCTACAGATGAATAAACAAAGCAAAGACCATCCTCAGACGACACACACACAGAAATATTAAACTGTTCTGAAGTCTTAGTGAAGATATTGTTGCTAATCAGAAAATAAGCGATGACGACGTTGAAATTGAAACTGGATTTATGCCAATTAAATGATCTAATTATAGAATAATCCTTTACCTCAGGTAGGAGGAAGACACTCTCTCTTCTTTCAATGACAATACATGAGGATACTTCACTTTCAATCACAGTAATAAGGACTAGCGCACACACGGAGAATGGACGATGCTAACCCCTGAGCTCAATGAGGCCCAATAAGGAAGTGCTCATGGACAAAGTTTTGCTCTAACTCACTATGGCTCCTTTTAAATAACCTTAAAAAAGTAAACTCCTCTAGATCAGTAACCGTTTGTGTCACATTCACCATTTTGGGTTAAAACATCTGTGGTCTATGATCCCAGCTTGCCTTAGCAACCATCTTAGCGACGGCGTGTAGCTAACAGGTCAGAACAAATGCCCATATAAGGAAATTTTCTCCAGCTAGCTTATGTCAAATCAAATAGCTGTGTTTTAAGGGGTGCATTAATTTTTTATTTAGGAAAAAAACAAAAACATATTAAACTCCTCCCTCTGGTGGTAGCACAGGGAGTTACAGACAGATAGCATGTTTTACTTATTTCCCCATGTATATATAGGTTCAAATTCTAAAACAGTGAAGTAAATGGTCTCATACTCATTCTTATTGGCCCAAAATAACGCACAGCAACATTTCTTCCTTCAGCGGTCTAGTGTGTTTTGTGGACACGTACCAGACAGCTGCACTGACTCCAGGATGTTTCTCACAGAGGTCATCTTGTCCGCAGTGGCCGGACTCACCGCCTCCTGGTCCAACAGCTTCAACAGAGCGCTCAGCTCACTCACCAGGCGCTCCATCAGAACTGCAAAACAAAGATAAAGTCATGAAAAACTTAAACCACTGTCCAAAAATGTTGCACTGTTTCACTTACACCTCTTAAAGCTGGGCATTCTAACTCTCTAAACACAAACCGTTTGGTCCATCAAACTAGTTTTCATATGCATGTCGTTTGGCCTCTGTCACATCCTTATCAGCCCAAAGCGTCAAATGAGGAATTACAGGGCTCTTTCTTACAAGTATGCAACAATAAAAAAAAAATCTAATAACATAGAGATGGTATGTCGTGATCTGATTCACCCACATAATGTAAGACAAAGAGTATGGAAAATAAAAGTTAGGTATAGGGATGTACGATATATTATAAAATAAAAAATATAAAAATATTGTTATTGCGATATTGGTCCATGCAATATCCATATCAAAAATAAGCGCGATAAAAAAAAACATTATTTTTTTCTTAAAGACAACAAAACAGACAGACACATCCACATTCAACAAACAAACAAACAAGAAGTCTATAAATATGCATTTGAATTTCATGAATGTTTTTGTTATTTGTCTCTTGCGTTTCACTGCAGATTGCAATTTAAGGTGAAAGAAAAAAATAACACAATAATATTGTAGTATCGCTATAATTTCCAATATTGTGCAGCCCTAGTTAGGTAGGAATGAGGAGCACAAAAAGCTAACACAAAAAACACAAGTGAATTCAAACTTGAAAGGATGTCACAAGGGAGTCCCAGAAGCATCTGTGCTGTGTGTGACTTATGTGTGATTGAAGATGCATTTCCTTTTTTGTTTTACTGCCCTAAGAACTGGTTTGAGATCATTCAGAGGACAAATCATTATTTGTTTTGAAGATGAAATGTTTCTAAAAAGAAATGTTTTGTTTGGTCACGTATGCGGAGAAGGCCTGGACACTGAGACAGAAGACACTGTGTCTTCTGTCTCAGTGTCCAGAACAGAAATGATTGTTGTTTCTTGGAACATCTTCCCATTTGTGTGAGTTATTTGTGTGTCATACTTAAATGAATAAAGTGCATTCATTCATTCTAATAAAGTATAAACCTACATACAATATTTTAAAGTAATTAATAACTCATTTCATCACTTCTACTACATATGTATGTATAAGGGACGAAGTTAGTTAACTCAGAATATTTGTTTTTAAGTACAAATCTGTGATATACTCTATAGTGCAAGAATATCTAAATAATCTTTCTGATTAAGTCATGAGCTTTGTGGGTTCAAGGAGAATGTATTTACCACAAGAGTTTTGATTTATTTGTGATTGATCATGCAGCCCTACCCTCCAGCCCTCCGAGTCATTCGGGTTGTGCTGTTAGCTGTAAGTTTAACCCTGTGAATAAAGTGCCACGCCTGTCGCAGCAGCTGACAGGAAGCACATTCTTACCATCCCATTACTTTCTCTGTAGTTGCCCACCATTCTCTCTCTCCCTTCATTGTTTCTCCCCACTCAAAAAAAGCCCTTAACAGCAGCTGGCTACTAACTTTATTTTCTCCATGCTCCACGCTGTCTACAAGTGTGTGAGTATTGTTGTTGGCCTTGACACTGGGCCAGGATCTGGTACACATCCTGTCTGGGTTCTGGCAATGATCCGAGAGCGGAGGGAGCAGAGGAGGGGCGGTTTCCTTCCAACTGAAACCAACGCCAAAGAAAAGTGTCTGTACTTTGACTTGGAATAGTGTTGAATAGTGGACCGGTTCATTCATGGCTGCAGGCTGGGAATGTGGAGTGATCAGGGAGATATGGCCTGGATTCACCTTTGTAATGCATTTTAAAAACAAAATGGGCAAAAATGAAAAATAAATGTATTTTCAACGTGTTAAAGCGGAAGTAAATTAAGGACATGCTCTGTAAAATGTATCCTCACCCAATTATGTCTTAAATATCTGCACTGGTTTTAAACAAAGCCATTTTAATTGTTTTGAGCTTGACCAGACATTACTGTGTTTAAAAGAGAAAGAGGTGGTTGAGAATATTTGACACTGGGAACTAAATAAATATTGTATTTATTTGTACAGCAGTCAAAATGTTCACCTTCACCGCAAGAAAGACAGTGTTAAGGATGTGATGCTATTTCCTGAGACTGAGAGAATACTGTGCCAAACTTCCCCCACGAAAACAGCACAAATGATGTAAGCCAAACAAACCTGCTTCTAAAATATGTAATGTTTCCTAAATTATCGATTTGATTCAAAAGATTTCATGAGTAATAGAATTAAGAGAAATACATTTGTAATATGCACTCTGAGTCGTCTAATAAATTAAAAAACACAAATACAATACAATTTTACCCAACCCATCCTGCAGGAGTTTAGCTAGAAACAGTACAACATGTGTATTACATAACTACTTTGTTTTCTATCCACTTTCATTTAAACAAAAGTGAATTTTTTTCATAATTAAAAAGAATAAACAGATGGAGCCAAGACCAGCTAAATTTCACCTAACAAACTGGCAACCCAAATGAGAGCCTGGTTGTGCTCTCTGATTGCATAATACAGAGACGGATAAAAAGCACTTTAAAACTTTACATTAAATGGAAACAAGGATTTTGCTCCTAAAGTGTCCTATAATATTATTTTTATGTCTCACAACCTGGAAAGTCACAAACACATCCCAATGATTTTGACATCCCTGAATAGTTTTTTTAATTTTTTTTAAATCAAATTAATCACTCAAACACACATAATACTCAACCTCTTTTCCACTTGACACACATCCGAGAACGAGCAAGCAGAGTTTCAGAATTCTTTATTGTTTTTGGCCTCTGAAAATCTGCCGACGACAGGGTTCAAGTTCAAAGACACTCGAGGTCTGAGCGCAGAGACCATAAACTGTTTATTTGAACCACAGAGAGAAACTATTTACTTCCACTTTGTGTAAATCATTCGAGACATAAGCGTTCTTCTGAAGTGTGCTCGCAGCTAATTACTTCCACTTCGCAGGGAATTTAGATTAGATTTGGGGAGTTTCTTATCTTCACTTTGTACGGATATTGTTAAGTTATTTTGTGTTGCTCTTTACAAACTTACACTACACCGTTGCACATAACCAGGATTATATTTTCTTTTAATCTATCAAGTTTTGGATTTGTATGGATCACGGATACAGCTTGGATATGACAGAAGTACACTTATACTAAACCTAGCACGTATAGCATTTTATTATTATCCGTACAAGTTATGAAAAATTGTAGTCTAAAGTTATACCTATTTGAACTACAAAACTATGGAAATGCAAAAGTAAACTGTTTATACATAGGTCTAAACAAGAATATTGTCATTTGAAATTCATACTATCAATGTAGGACGATTTCACTCAAATCACAACTTAACTCAAAATCACAATTGTGTTTTTAAAGTGAATGCCAGTAACTTTTGAAATTATGTAAGTAAAGAATCTTTATTTTTGTAGTGCAATTCATAGAACATGATCACGCAAGGTACTTTACAATTCTTGTTGTACCAGTGATTTCCATTCTCCCCAAATACAATGACAAACGCTAAACGCACAGGTGCATCGACGCCTCTAACATCAACATCTCTTCACTCTCTCATAACATTCAGATGCCATATTGTACTTTTTTTTTAGTGGTGGGGAAACCAGAGCACCTGGAGGAAACCTACGCAGATACGGCGACTGAGAGAACATGCAAATTCCACACAGACGCCTGATGGTGGAATCAAACCCAGTGGATTGACCAATCAGTGAAGCACAAGAACATTTCCAAGACCGCCCTCACAGCTTCCTGATTGGATGAAATTAATAAAAGTGCTTTCCATTGGTTGAAACATAATTGTTGTGGTTTTGCAAGAAGTAAGGACTATTTTAAATACATAACTTTTAAATGTTTTATTTTATTTTACATGAAACTACAAGGTCATGTGGTCACAATACAGTATGTGTTGTTATTTACCCTGCAAGTACTTAGCAGGATAAGCACGTTCACACTTGTTGGTCTGCTTCACTTTAGCTGCTTCACTTTAGCTGCTTCACTTTAGCTGCTTCACTTTAGCTGGGCCAAACCTACTTAATTTGGAGCAAAAATTATTTAATTGTGGATGTCAAAAACCACCAAACAAGTGAACGCGTATCCTCTAGTTAGGGCTGGGCGACATGGCAAAAAATAAAATCTCGATTTTATTTCCTGCTTTGGACGATTTCGATTTTTAGTCACAGAAGACAGACTTTGCCCTTAAAAATATTTTTTTATCTTTCTGCTCAATGTTCAAGTTTCAAAACTATTTCTAATTTGTTTTACCTAATACGTGTAAAAAAAAAAAGTATATTACAGACTGTGCTGATATTGCAAATATGATTCATGTGCTGCTGGAACTCTCACAAATCCTTCTTTCGATTTCACGATTTTAACATTTTTCACAAATTCACTTTATTCAAAAGCAGATTAATTGCCTAAATTCGATTTGTTGCCCAGCCCTACCTCTAGTCAATCAAACCAGTTCCCGAAAGTGAATCAGACTCGATCCAGTTCCTCAACCAGGTCCTGCTGGTGCCCAGAGTCAGAACTAAACGTGGGGATGCGGCTAAAATCTGTAACAGTCTTTCTGAAAATTAATTTGAGTTCCCAATCCAATATAATAGAACTGATACCCAGTCCAACATAGTCCTGGATATTTGACACCAGTACTATTTACGTATATTGCTGGTATCCTTACATAAACATTCCTATTTTCAGGCCTCAAAGAGACTTCTAACTGTATTTTGTTGTGTTTATGACCAGAGGAAAACACAAGCAGACAGACTAATACTGGGGAAGAGAAAGTCTTTAGCAGAGTGAGTGGCTCTGTAGGCCTGCTCTGACCTCTTTAATCCCCTGCAGTGATCGGGTCTGATGTGGTCTCTCTATCGAAAGGTGTGAATGTGCTAAATACGTCCAGGGAAATTGGATCTGGAGACGCATTTGTCGTGGGCCTGAGAATTGGCCCAGAGCAGCTATTTAAAGTATTAATGAAGCCGGTGGTTAACAATGAGGC